GATGCTTTGTTAACAGCCGAATAATGAATTGTAGCGAAACAAAACTGTAATCAAAGGACATTAACCAACCAGACTCAAACTTCTCCAAATTGCCACCATGAGCGCTATAAGCAGTTCGCATTACTTCGCCACTCAAAATCGTACACGTGCTGTTAACCCAGTGCCATCCTAAAAAAGTCATGATTCGGAAATGAAGGACTTCAAGATATGCAACAGTACACGAATTCAAACATTCACATCTAAAAGCAAAAAAGGTATAGCCCCACTGTAGTTTCCGATGCAATCATTAAGTTTAACATTGATAAGACTCCTAGAAAGCAAAATCACGCCTTGATACTACTAAAATTAAATCTGTATAAAGCTATTTTAGGGTTATTTATTCTTCATTTTACATGCACACAACCATCTTCGAATGGCTAGTTTAATAACATTATCGAAGCATCATTCGATTACTCTTTCTTGTAATTCCCCTTTTGTACTTTTAAATATCGTTTGTATTACTGAAATAAACCTATGACTTGTGGAAAAGGACAATACTTATGTTCGCTGATGCATTTTTTGCATTTTCGATTTCATCTTTGTGCGAAGAAAATATATGTGTTTTCAGCTTACATTAGAAAAAATGAGTAAAGAAGAAAACAAAACTAACCAGCAAAACCAGATGTTCGGTAAGGCGCTCGAAAAACAATGATAAATTCCGTAATGGATGCGTAAAGAATGTTCATCTGTAGGTTAAAACCACCACCATAAACGGCTTCCCAATCACTGTCGATGATTTGTAATGGATATGAACGACGTAAATCGTTCCGTAATTTGTTTACGCTCGAAATTCCATTACTTCCTATTACAGAAAAGTAATTTGTAAAAAATGGTTGAAGAAGAGTTCAGACTGAATGAGAAATGGCAAGGAGTTAGTCATTATTTTCATAAAAAAGGTTTTATAAAGTTAACCATTATTTTTATAAGGTTTTTTTTAGTCACTATCAGTCATTATTTCCACTGTTTAGTATACCACTATTTCAGATGGATAATCAGGGTTATATGAAATCCTTTCTCATATGAATACCTCATGAAAGCAAATATGGAGAAAATCATCGAAGAGTAAGAAATCAAGATAAAAAACTTCGTTAAATTTGGGAAAGTTCAAAATAAGACGCTATACCGCGTACTGCAACACAGGCCTGTCGAAAAACCTTCGGTGAAATAGAATATGATTTCCATCGTAGCATGTATTGTACCACACTGTACAGTACGATGGCGAGGATCACATAACGGACCATGCGAGTGAACACAAAAGCCATCGTCGTTGTGGACCGTTTATATATTTTCTTATCTGAAATCTAGCTCATCTCTTCAAAGACTTCCTGTAACACTAGATGATGCAAATAGAACGCAACGCTCAACGTCCCCCCGCACTCTAATCCTACCGCAGCAGACTAAACAACCACTCGAATATCCCCTCCAAACCAAAGAGAGCATAAACCGACGCGTATTGAAACAATGCCGTACCAGTAGGCGATGATGTAATGGTAGAAGCGGTACTTATATGGTTGTCGCAAGGTGCCATTTGAAGGGAGATCTCGCAGAAGGCTGGGATTAATATCGTATGGTTTTTAGACAGGTTTTGATAAACTTTTGCTGGAAGGATGAATAACTGGAGACATTTGATACTTGAAAAAGCATCAGTTTTTGTTCGGAAGCGTCGTTCCATTTTGCGGCATATTGAACAAGGATGGAGGAACATTGTAAAAATTAGTCAAGATTTACTGAAATATACAAACAAACTTAAAGGCGAACTAGGCCTTTATAGTTTAATGTTTCATGATTTTAGTTAGATCACCAATCACGTTGTTTGCCACCAAGCATCACTGGTCGTTGTTTCGAAACAATGTTCAGCTCATGCTACCCGCTGCTCACATTTGAACAATCACTGATGAATGAAAAAATGAATCAACGATGAAACTATCGCTGCTGTTTCTCCAATCAGTGTGGAGGTCAAGGTCTATGCTAAGAGCGCCTCGAATAGACCTAATAGTCTATATGATGCATGAACAGTGGAATAGTTCCTTTCCTCTCTTCCACGGGATGTTCATCTGTTTATTTTTATCGTTCATGATGGGTTATGTGATCCGTGATGCAGTGTGCTGCTGAGTTTTTGGAGAAAGTAATATATCAAAACGAGCGCTATTCTTTTTTTTTTTTTTTTTTCATTGCCAAAATTCGTGTCTACGCAGTGTCCACACGGTTAGCAATTTATACTAGCACGATTCCAAACGATTCTATTCAACTTTATGTCTTTTGCTTCGTGGAACTGAAATTCCATTTTTATTTGCAATTCAAAGACTCCTTTCCTGTATTGCATCCTCAAATCCTCAACGAGACTTTATCCGCGATATTGTCATGTCTAAACGGTGTCCAGTTTCCTCATTTCTTCATAAATAACTCTGTTAAAGGGTTTTCTTCAGCTGACGCAGTGCTAATCCGCGAGTTGGACATGAGAAGAATACAGCTACTGTCTCCGTTACTTGGAGAAGGTTTACTGAATAATTCTACCTTGGAATTTCGTATCATTAGTCTTTAACGGTTGAAATCTACTGAGTTGTGTATGTAGCGTTTTTTTTTCTCTTCATACAGCAGCCCTTTATATCTTTATTTCCAGAGAAAGAAATAAAGTTGTATTACAAGCTCTATTCTTCATCTAATGGTCTTATAAAAGGAAAGTTATTTTAGGAGCTGTTTAAGGAGAGTTATTGATTCGGTGGGAAGTTATTGAAAAATTAAAGTTACTTCACACGAAAATCATTTAACATCTTTATTCTGCTTATATTTCACCCAACCAGTGGGGACATTTCTACCAATGTGTCATAATTTTCAGATCAAATTGGAGTATTGTGGGTCAATTCGCAGCCTGATCAATCATCAGCCAAACTGGCGCAATATTTGTGGAACAAAAGCACATTCCGTAGTTGTACCGATGGAGCTGCTAATTTCATCATGCCCCTTGTCAAGTAAGCTTTTGTCAATGTAGTTTTCTTGAGGCTTTAATTAATAAGCAAAAATTTGAATAATGTTTCCAGGAATGAAAATTGTTTAAAGCCTGACTTGATTTCTGGAGATTTTGATTCCATTTCCGCTGTGGCAAGAAAATTCTTCGAATCACAGGTTGAAATCGTGGAAACACCTGATCAAGACTACACTGACATGTGCAAAGCGTTGCAAATTATTGCTGAGAGGATGAGAAATAAAAAACTGAATGTACGTTAAAGAAATTTCGAGACGGTTCAAGTTTTAAAAAATAACTCTGCTAAAGAATGTGACAGTCACTGTTTCTTATGAAATGGAACGTCTTCCTGAGTACTTCGTGCAATAAAGTTTAAGATCTCGAAAGTTATTGTTTTGGGCGGACTTTTTGGGCGTTTTGATCATGTACTATCGTCTCTGCATTCATTATTACGGTTCGATAGCTGTGGAATTGCAATTATCGACGGTATTAATTTGGTCACGATTTTGCGCGAGGTATATATTCTTAATTTACAAATCATGCATAAGTTGAATTTATGACTTTATTCTTAGATATTTCCTTTATATATGGTTTTTGCCATCCATTTGCTCATTTTAGGGTTCTACAAGCTTAGAGTTCACTGGAGGTCAGCATCTTTTAACAGGAAAATGTGGCATTATCCCTTTCACTCAGCGCAAAACGACCGTATCATCTAGTGGCTTGAAGTGGAATTTAGGTACTGAAATGAGATCTTTTATAATCTTCCTTAATAATCTCGTGTTCCCTGAAATTCACAAGTGTCATCAGTGAGATCTCGAGTGGTTGAGATGCAAAGAACCCACAGTAAATCCAAAGTTTTCTAGAACAAAGCTTTTTTCAATGTTTATTGTCTCCCATAAATTATTTTGATATTCTTCAATGCAAATAGTTTCCAGATGAAACGGAGCTTGCATTTGGCAAACTTATCAGTACATCAAATGAAATGATTAGCGATACAGCGTCGGTAACCTGCACAGCTCCAGTAGTGTTCACCATGGAATTGTCAGAAAACGCTCTGTCACTGTGATAATCTGCATATCACCATGATATTAAAACGTCTGGAAACTTTTATTTCAGTGGACAACTAGCCAGTTGTCTCATCTCCAACTGTTGTTATAGATGGAACGTGCTTTTTTTAATTTATCAGTTAATCGTACGTGGCTCAGTGTAACATGAATTCATTTTATTTCAGTTTAGGACATAAATAACAAAAAAAGAAAACTAAGCAACCTCTAACAACAGTAACGTGTTTCCTCATATTTTTTGATAATCCCGACCTATCTCTGGTTTTAAATAATAATATATGAACTTTAAGCGATGGATTACATTTCATTACTATTTAAAATCAGACTGATCACCAAAATTTCAGCAGAAAATGGGACTATGCTAATGATAAATCAACTGCCTTCAGCAACGCACTTTCTTTACTTTCGAAGCAATTGTAGCTCCTTTCTTTATCCCTTTTATTAACATCTTCATTTCATTCTGAAACAAATAATATGTATATTTAACAGGAAGACATCAAATATCGTTTTTTTGATTGAGACTTAAAATTCGATCCAGAAATTGGGAACACTGATGGTCACTAGAACTTTTATATCTTTCTTTGTATGCTAATATCTAAGCAATAATCATACCTTTTCTCTTCGACGTTTATTGATCGGTATATATAAATATGGCTCATATTTTGCGCTGTTTCTTACATCTGCAGAAGCTTGCTTCTTCGAAAATCCTTTGTCGGATGTGGTGTCAGTGGAACTTATACGAACATTCCTGTGAATACCTTTCCCACCAGGTTTCCAGCCAGATTTGTTCTTATTTATGACCTGAACAGAATTTCCAGAAAACATTACATGCATAACACATACCTATCTTATGAAAATTGAAAGACTTCTACAGCTGGATGTTTTCTGAATCCCGAAATTCCAAACGGCTTCCACGACTAATTGCACTGTAAATCCCGAAATTACTGTGTATATTCCTAAGAGGAACAGAGCACAACAAATTATAAAGTAAAACGCAAACTCTGTTGGGATAGTCACTATCGCTATCGCTCTTCGAATCACTGTCTCTTTTCATCTTCTTGTCCAGGATATTTAAAAATTTTCCAGGTCGCTTTCGTTTCCTTTTGTCTTGTTGATCCATATCCAGATTTTCAATTATTAATCGTCCATCTTTCGCCACTTTGAAATCATTACCACATTTGTTATTATCATCGTCATTCAGTTCCTGTAACCTAAAACACCAAAAAGATTTTGATGAATCCAAAGATAGTAAATTAGAAAAGCATTCGTAAGTAAACCAGTGAATAACCAGATAATAAGCAAAAGGAATTAATAAAAGAATAGTAGAATAATTACGACCATTTCCAGAGAATCTCACTTTTTATCTTCCAATAAGAGAGACCGAGATGTTGCAATCCTTTTCAGTATTTTCTTTCGGTCGAGTAGGTCCATCATATCTTCATCATTATCATTCTTTAACCACATCGAGCTGCCTCGTGTTCGACCTCCAATTGACTCACGATCCATTTCTACTTCACTTTCCTAAAAATAAAAAGAAATAAGTGAACAAATAACTTATTTATATTTATAGTAATATTCTAATTTGATTTGTAATTTCAGTATTAAGTTCTTCATTTTCCTTTCCCAGATTTACTAATCAGTCGCGTCAAACTTCACTTCGTTCAATAATTAAAGATTTGAATTTCAGAAGATAAAACATACACTGTCGGTATTGCAGACCACATTCAGTATTGTATCTGCACCTGCAGTTCGAGCACTTGAGGCCACGGATGCCATGTCATGGTCTTGCCCTCTACCGGTGTCCATGTTTTGCATCTCTGTTGTACGCTGGCGTTCACGGCGGTATCTGTAATATGGAATAATCTAAATAGTCTCAACACTACGTAAACCAAAAATACAGAAAATATCCTATTCAAAAACAGTATTTCATAAAGATAATTTCAAAGTATAAAATTTTTGCTCAAAAACAACTTTCTCCTCATAGAAAATACTTAAAAACAAACCTCATTTTAGCAATTGCTTTCAGTTGCTTAATCCAATCCAATTTATTTGTTCGACTCATCAAAACTTCAACACCATATCTATCAACTAAAACCTCAAGCAGAAGTCTATTCGCTTTGCGGATCTTTTGCGTGACATTCGCCGTTAACGGACTGTCGAACACAGCCGACAGTAGGAGTTCCTGCAACTCAATTGATATTGCTGGAAATAATCCAAGCGTTATTTCGTTTACTCTTAGAGACAACTGAAACCAGTTGTCAAGCTGAGCTATATATTATATATATTTTGTCAAGCTGAGCTTGTCGCGAATTCCAATTTCGCGAAAGACCAAAGTATAAAAAATTATCTATCCATGCAATCATCACTCATGTCTTAGATCTTTGTTTTAAATCACATCTGTTGAAATATTTAGAAAACCCACTCCCACTTTTTTCCGTATATATAAGCTGGATTGAGTGTTGTTAGGGGAGCCTTTTATGACCAGTTTTTTCATTACGCTCAAACAGTTTGGTTGATTCCTTTTCTTTTCCTTTCATCATTATTAGCTGTATCGTATCGTTTTTGTGACCCTTACCATTTACAAGTAAAGAATTAAACTCTCCCCCTTTGTCTACAACGTTACGACACATACACACACACA